ATAGTGATCTTGACACGTCGACAGTGAAGTTCGCTCTACTGTATTTCGCTGCACAACCATGATGTTCGACTGAAGGCAGTAAGGCGTTCACTGATAATTTTTCATCTGAAAGGCGTGACAGAACCTGCTAATCAAAGACGTCACATTAAGGAACTGAGAAAACTAGTGGAGTCTTTTCAGACGCCAGAAGTGGTCAGTTGCAGGTATAATGTATACCCGAGGTTATCCGAAGGTATCCTCTTACCTGATGCTGTAACGTCAAAGCTTCGCGTTCCTTGGTAAGCTGATCACGTTCTTGAACGAGAATAGCGCGCTCACGTTCCCACTGCTGCAGATGGAAATACAGATCGGTAAAGCACAATTATTAAATGTGCATTCGTTATGCACAATCAATGTATCTCAGCTTACACAATTGCAAGATACAGCTAGTGGAAAGTGTTGGCGATTCAACTTTCTTCACTCGCTTATTTTCTCCCTTTCTCTTTCGTTCTCTGGCACAGACTCTCTCTCTCTCACACACACACACACACACACGCACGACGACAACGACTCAAACTGACAGATCGTGAAAAAAACCATCCGCGAGAACAACTAAATATTCAAACGCGATAGTCTGACGGGGATCAAAAACCACCAGAATCCCGCCCATTATAACCACAGGAAGAATACTTTCCCCGGTTTTCAATTCAGCTGACAAAACTATCAACTTTGAACTTTCCCGTGGTGCCTTTTGATGCTATTTGTTGATTGCCCGTTTGGACGCAACATTAGGCGGAAGTAGACAAATCGAGACAGCACCGTGGTGCTCATATTTTTAGACAAGTCTTAGTTTAATTGCTCTTCAACTTCTTCCATACACTACCTATCTCGAGAGAAATCGCATGGCGACAAAGCCTATCAAGTGCCATGCGTAGCACAATACCTCAGTCGTCGTAGTTTATGAAGGTCAAGTACTTGCTCCAGCACGGGCATGTGCATGAGCACAACATGCAAGCGTTAGTGTGGACCTCAGTAACAAGACTTCCTGCACAGCTGGTTGTCCGAATGGTGTATGAACCTTGGGCTCTGGCTTCTACGGACTCCGAGCTCCTGAATCTAGTCCGCGGCCAGGCAGATACTGAGGAGGCATTCTGACGACAGATCCATCGTGAACCGTATGTCACGCTCTACTCTTTCCAATGATCTGGTGTAACAGGTCTATTTAGTGCATCAGACATGAAATGCGATCACATTTCCAACATGCAATCAGTAAACCTATTTGCAAAAATGAAAAAACTAGCCCATGATAACCAATACTGACTGGTTGGTTATCAATTTAAAGAAATAAAAACACCGGAAACATACTTTATTTTCACCACAGTATGTGCGGCAACCAATATTGGACAGATTAAACATTGTTCGTTTTGAGAAAATTAACATCGCAAGCTTGATTGACGATGTACCGATACACGGTTACTCAGTTGATGTTCACATAATACAGAATTGTTTAGTCACTGGACTAACCTCCACTTTGAGAAAAATTCACAGAATTCATAACTGGATTTATTTCACTCTACTGAGTACAGACTGAACAAATAACTGAACGGAGTAAATCAAAATGTGCTCGAATCGAGTAAAATCCCCTTGCACGATAATCACTAAGCTGTGAAGTGCGAACTATTTGCAGACAGGTGGATGGTGATCGAGAGACCTCGACACCAAACCCCAAAAGGATGATTAAGAGAAAGTATAGCCAAACGCGACATTTGAGTGATCAACAACAAAAGCCAGTCTTGAGAATTTCTCGACTAACCCAAGTGAACCGTTGGTACCTTTCGCAAATTTTGTGTTCAACCACCTGAAACTGTTTCGGTGAGTAACCAACTGAACACCACAATTCGAAGCTCCACTGAATTTGAATCAGTCAGAAATCAACAGGGTGTTTCAAAAGAAAAACCACCCAATCCACAACATGAGTGAAGTCATCATGCACAACAGCACGCGTGCTGAACGAAAAGTAATAACACATCATGGACATTAAAATTCTATGACAAGTTTTATCGCATACAGAGCATATTAAATATGAAGTGCAAACTACTGTTTAGCTGTTTCGCTCTTGTTGAGTCTCATAAGTAGAGCGAATCCATCGTCCCAAGAAAGAGTGAAACCTTTTCAAAATACCGATAGATACAGTGAAGAATTGAGGGTCAAAAGAATCAATTTACGGCGTCTCAGCTGTGGACAGCTTCGTGCACTTAGGAAGATGATAGATGATCTGCATATCCAGGACAAAACAGCACCTTTTTCGTCATATATGCGAAAACGCACTAACCTCCGCTTTACGACGCGTGCATTCCAACTGTTGCAGTGCTTCACGCAATTCCTCGTCCATTCGACGTTGAGTTTCCTCGGACTGTTGAGCACGCTGTGTTTGAGCGCCAAGTTCCTGGTTGAGCACTTTTAACTGTTTCGCATTTTCAGATTTAACGGCAGAAATCTGTTTGTTTGCAGTTGCCAGACGAGCTTCCAAGTTCTAGGTAGAAATAGGCAGACAAATAAGGGTGAATTCAGGCGCGTGGTATGGATGGGGAAGCTTAGTGCCTATATCTCCGCTCAATATCAAATTCTCTACCGTTGGTCTTAGCGTTTAGCATAAAATAATGGTCAATAATCCTCGGTGACTGGTTATCAATTTGCATTAGATTATCACAATTAGAGAAGAACTCTTGGCCGCCGTTTTGAGCTGTGTTGCCACGCACCTCCCGGTTGAAAGATCTTGAGAATACAAGTTAGCAAACAAGTTCGTTTTCGGTGCTGCATCAACTAGCTAAATACTGCAAAACTTATAATGGGTTGAGCACGTGATTACAGACGACACATATCACGCACACATCAGAATCTAAACAGGGGAAGGGAGACAATGTAACTGTGATAGCTGGCCTTGATGGAGTAGCCCTGAAAACGAGCTTGTTTGCCAACTGGTGCTCTCATAATTCAGAAGAGTCTCACCACGTTGGGGAATTTAGATCATTATTTTACTGCCGTGAAAAATTTGGAGTAATCAGACATTTTTCCCAGCAAAACTCAAAAACCGGTAAAGCTGTATGGAAAAACTGATCAGATGATTGCAACGTTTCAATTTGAGTAAAACATTCGAGAGGTTTTAGTTACGTGTGATACCGGTGAAGAGCGACGTACGAGTCTAGTCATCTCTTTCATTCTGATAGTGGTACTCGTCTGATTTAGTCTATCTAAGATAGAAAAATAATCAACCAATCGGTTTTTGATGAGTTCGTTTCAAAGCAGGTTGAGGTGATGCTCAGAGCCACAAAAGTGACTTGCAGAAACCGAGGAAAACAAGTTATATAGTGTTTCGGGTCCCGCATCGAGATGACGAGGGTAAATAGCCTACGCATGAGAAATAACAACTAGTGCTTTGCACATATACTGCTTCGTCTTCGGAAATCAAATGGGCGGTCTACTCAACCGATATATTTTGCAACGGCTCTTTAAGGAACTTTGATAACATAGAAACAAAATACTTAGCAGGAGTATCTATCAAAGCTTAGGACTAAATTTGTGCAAACAGTATCGAAAGCGGTGCTCACCTCGTTGCGTTGTTGTGAAAGTTTCATTTCCCTGGCTAATCGTTCAATCTCCTTTTGAAGCGTTAACAGCAGCACGGTATCTGGACTGTCGGAACGAGGGGTTGCGGATGAGGCCCGGGAAGAGGCCTCAGTCGTACCGGAAGTTTTGGATCTGTAGAATTGAGAAAAACGAGTGAATAAGATACGCGATTCCATGACAAAATCGAAAAAGCGCGTGTGCCGTGGGTTCTACCGACAAATGACGAAAAGAACAGGGTACAGGTGTCAGATAATGAGCGAACAGGCAACTAACGAACTGTGAGATGCAGGTGGTTAAATTGGCAGAACAAAGTGGATGCAACAGACTTGAACACAATGGACACAATTCTAACCATACGTCAAAAATTTAGGAAAATATCAAGCCTAATTTCATTCCTCAGATAATTTGTAAACTTAAAAAATGAACCCATGGGAATAATGTTCCAAATTGAAAAAATGAGCACCGTAAAATGGTGATTCGTAAAAGAAAAAACAATGAGCTGCAAAACTGAGCGGTGTTTTAACCAGTTTCGGAATTGCAGCAGTCATTATTTACCGGTTGTGTTTACTAGAACACAATTGGAACTCTTTAAAAATGCTCTGTCACTGCTTAACACAATCTGAATGTCACTTGCTGATGCCTCGAAAAGCCACAGAATGGTCAGAGGAGGTTATCTTGGATTGTGGCTGGTCTCCCTTCTTCTTCTGCACACCAGACTTCTGTAGCAGCCTCTGCTGGGGAAGTCCCTCTCAGTGAATTCTCGTGGTGAGTGTTTTTCCACTAAACTGAGAGGACGAAAAGTCAACGTCCGGGATGGTAACCGGGTTGCTGAACTGCTGACAGTCACATTGGGTAACTGACAACAAACCTTATCCCAAACTAACCAAGAAAAAGAAAACGAACCATGCCGACGCTGTTCTGGTTGTGGTGGCGTTCGCCGACTCGACCGAACATCGAGGTCTTGTGGGCCCCTTGAGCGTTTGACCGCGTCCAAAGGACGTGATTAACTGAACTACATAACAGCCTCAATGAACTGCGGTCTTCAAACACTGTCCGCTGCCTTCAGTTAGACTTTGCTTATCCGAAGGCTCCGGTTTTTAATTCCCCCGGAGAATCATCATCTACTTTACCCTGGGTAACCTGAGTATGTTCCTCCCACGGGTAAATCACAGCTCTCTCTTAGTTGTACAACAATATGGATCGTTGTACAGTGAGAAGTTTGGCACACAGTCCGGGTTGGGCAAGTGCGAAAAATAATTGCATTAATGCTGCGTCGTTGACAGTTTGAAGATATCTGGAAAATGGGAACACGGTAAGAGCAGCAAGCCCCTGGATGGAACGGCGGGNGGCAACTGAAAGTCAGTTGACACCAGGTCGAGCCAAAAATGTCCTAGATAGCGTTACACTTACTGCGTGACTCACGCTTTCCAGAAACATTCAGTCAGAAACACAGACAACTGAAATGACAAAGCTGGTTCTTACTCAACGATAAGTACCGACCCTCGACCATGGAATCGGGATCAATCAACTTAATTGTTCGCTTAAAAAATACTGGACTTAAAGTGATTTGAGTGCACTGGTGACAAAAGTGAACGCGAAGTGGTTGTTAACCAATCGGTGATGGGATTGTGAAGTAGCGTGTACAAACTAGCGTAAGCCCAGAAAGATGAAATCAACGCTGTACTTCTCCAATCCCATTCTTGAGAAAACAGAGGAGACACTCACTTAGACGACTCCGCTGCAGGCGATTCTTGCGGAACAGTCATTGTCTCGGCATCGACTGAAGGAGGGGGTACGTGTGGCTTATTTGGTGAACTGTGTTTCAGATTGCCTACTTCTTCCCGAAGTCGGATAACCTCATCGCGTAGAAGCTGAAGAAAGAATGGAAAAACGAGGAAGTATACAACCGTATTCCAGTTAGAAGAAAAAAGGATACTGTCATTGTCAAATGGTGTGTGAATGCTGTTGTCCTTGAAGGAAGTCATCAGCATGGTATACTATTTTTCGTTCCAACCGGGACTCGACTGGGAGTCGAAACTCTCAAGCTCGAACTATACAGTTGACGGACAAAACTGGGACCTATATGATGTGAATTAAGTTCACGCAGTCTGCTGATGGGTCCCAGCAAGGACGAAACAGTTGTCTAGCGTGTTTAGTCGGAACTCAGACAAATTATTTGACAAATAAAATACTTAAATGTGAGAATTAAATGAACTTCAAGAAGTGAGATCCATGATGGAACGATACACGGACCGCGATACTTGTGACTTCGGAACAGAAGTCTTGCGAGTCGGGATGGTAACAAGAGGTTCCATTATTGCATTTATGATTAGTAGATTTTGAAATTGCTGGCAACATAAACTAGCTTATTGCCACAAAGATACCAACGAGATAAACAATACGGCAGACTCACCTGGCATTCGAGCTCTTTCGCACTGACTTGTGATGACAAGTGTTGAGTTAGCAACTCGAGGGTGGCGGGTAATGAAGTATTCTGGATGGAAAGCGAGCGGAATGTAAACAAACAACTCAGTGAGAGCAAGATAAAGAGAAAATCAACCAATAACACTAAGAGCAGCTATTTTGTTTCCAGTTGTCTGATACCAAGCACCTCAGAAAGTTTAAACGGAACTTTAGAACTTTAGATGGGCGAGCTGAAAAATCAAACACTGGGTTTGTGTGTCCGTCGTCTTGACAAACACAAATGGCAAACTACAGGAAACAAAACCAATACTGGGATATGCAATCTCACCAGTGATCTGAACATATGGGAGTCTGGAAGCTGCGAACCGGCTGTTGCAGCATGTACTGTGGCATCGGGGGTAGCAGGTAACCGATTGGAGACGGCTGAAGTTGAGGCCTGAGACACCCTATTGTGAGACTGGTTGGTTTCAGGAGCACGCTGAGTGGTGGGACGATCAGCAGGGATGGCAGTGGGTTGCGACGGATGTTGAAGCTGGTCAGTATTTTGTCGGGCCTCGGAGGGTTGGGATAGAGGCTTGGATGTTTTCAAAATTAAAGGAATACAAAAGAACATCAAGGTAATCAGGCGGCGACAACACAACGTCAACTAGGAAACTCTAAAGTTATACATAGCAAGGTAGTATAGAAAGACATTGCAAACTGATCGGCAGATTTTCGTTAGCCAGATGAAACTAAGGTACCGATCGCGAACGACGCGATAGTTAAATTATAAATCCTAACATACACAACCTGATCCCTGGAACTCTGAGTAAAGAACCCCAAAATGCTTTGATAGGAAACGTTGAGCCGGACGACACGGGGGCCTAACCGAATGACTAAAACGGCCGATCCCCCCAGCCCCATTTCGCAGGTTTTCAGGATGCTTAAAACCACCTGGCACCCATTCACAACTGGCCTAAACAGGTTTTTACAAGAGGTAAACTTTAGCTAACGATACAGGTAGTTCACCATCAAAAATCTTTCACTGTATCCAGTTTGTCGGAATTGGTAAAATAAACTTGAATCAATCGAAACTGAATCATTACAATGATCCATTTTAATGATTAAGAAAGATGAGCTCGTTTCAAAAACTACTCCTTGATGTGCAAACGAAATGTGGTTTAGATCAAACATGGTACGATATAGTTTGGATTTCGATTAAATCAATTTATCTGTGTGACAAGCGGATTTCTCCTGGTTGCATATAATCGATGAGTGCGGAATGGAGTTGCTATGGTAGACCACAGACACAAAATCGATAGCAACATGGCACAACGGATATTAGCACCGCGGAAACCCGCTTCGCGTCCGAAAACGTCTGCCGCGATTCGCATACAAACACAACCATAAAAGAAAATGTTGTGGGAAAAAAATTGCACTGATCGATGGAGAGCCGACATGACACGGTTTCTGACAATTCCATATTGTATGCATCGATCGATTTAATTCGATACGGGCACATTCTGACTCTAATTTTAGAGTCCAGCGATTGAAGATCCCGTAAATAAAAAAGCAGTCCCCAGACCTCAATTAGACCATGAAGACAATGTCAAAGTGAATCCAACCAGGCATAAACAACACTGGAAACCTAGTGGTTTAATATTTAAAGTAGTTGGCTTATTTCTGTGAAGGCCGAGTATGAAGGAAAAACCAACAATGATATAGAAGGAAGTTGCTTTCTTGTCAAGCTAAAAAGCGCCTATTTGACTTGTTCAAAAAGTGGAAGGATCGAAACCACCACCTACATTCGCTGATGGGCAACCAGATATCACCCGGCTAGGAAACAAGCCTAGCCTATTAAGGCTTTGTGTGATTCACAACTTCAAATTTGGTTCTCGAAATGGTGCACCGTGACTAGATGCTAAAGCATTTTCTCCGTNCTCCGTCCATCACACAATGGTGTGAGGATGGGGGTGAGAAACCTTCAACTTACCTCTTCTGAAGGGAGATCAAATTTAACAACGGATTTCCTTTCCTCGCCAGATGGTGACTGAGCGACATCAGTAGCTGGCTTAGTGGTCACGGCTTGAGTCGAGACCGGGATCTTGATATCCCCAGCGCCTAAAACAAAAACAACAACACAGTGGCAAACACACTAAATTTATAAAATTATAGCTTCAAGTACGCGTGGTTTACTTGAAAATCGTC